ACCGCCTGTTCTGGTCTAGGTTCTCTTGCTTGCTTTCTCTCCCATCCTTGCCCCCCCTCTTCTCGATTTGAGACTGTGTCGTTGACTCGTCGTCCTTGGATCGATTCCTCGATGGCCGGCTGGGCAAACATTCGTCGGCTTCCCCCTTCCCTTTTCCCGACCTCTTCACAATCGTCGTCAATATTCTAATCTTATTACCGACAATACTTTCATTATTTTATTTTATTCTTCCGTTAGGTTTTTTTTTTCCCCCTTTCGATTTGTCAAATTTCCGATTTATCAAAGCGATGATTAAGCTCGTGATCTCTAACCAGATTGCCCGAAGCTGATCCCCAGAACTGAGAGCGGGTGGGAAGAGAAAAAAATTCCACGCTTTTCCTCTTTCTCTCTGGGACTTCTGGAACGCCGCTTGAATGGCCCATCCGTGCCTTTAGCCTCTCGCTGCTCTCTGTCTCTTGTCTCTTACCACACCTACCCGTACCTAGTACCTCCCTCTCCTCCTCGCCCTCCCTCTCTCGCTTCCCTTCACTCTGTTCGCTTACCCATTTTCTTCTTCGTTTCTCATCCAGATCCATCCTTTATTCACCTTTACTTCCATAATACCATCTTGTCATTCACCTTCTCATCATTTTCTTCCTCCACATTCTCCTCCCATCTACGTACTCCTGCTCACCCTCCAGCTCCGTTCTTCCTTCGAACCCTTTCGAGCTCTTTCGAGTCTTTCAACAGTCAAATCGTTTTTTTCGCATCTTCCCTCCATGCGATTCGTGACCCGCCAGCCACTACACGATCGACGGCTTCTAATTCTCGATACGATAACCTCGTTTCACGGTCGCACGCGCAATCCAGGTCCACTCCTCTGAAGTCTTGCTTGCCTCGCCTCGATCCATAATCCTCAATCTCGACGTTTGTCACACTTGGGCAACGATTTCTCGGTAGAGCTCGCGGTTCTTTCGATTTCGCGTCCTCTCTAAGGCTACTGTTTTCGATCCCGCTTTGAAGGACCGAACTAGATTCTTTCACTCTATACGACAGGTGTTGTCGATTCTTGGGCAAGAACTGAGTAAAGACGTGTAACCATCCATTTGGTGGTAGGTGGCATGCCTGTTGGGTCTGAACGGGTTATTTGAAGCCCACAAACGCCCAACAATACACCACAACGCGTTTTTCATTCATTTGTGGAGGGGGTACTCTGTCAGATTATGACAGATACCTCCCCAGTCGCCATCACGCACTCAACCACGGAGCCCTATCCGGTCACCGTACCCCTGAACTCACCCGCCCTCAACGGCGCCGTTTCCGACTCTGCCGCCCCTGACGAGGAGGAGCCGTATACCATCAAATGCATCTGCGCATTCGAAGATGACGATGGCAACACGGTCTTTTGCGAAGGGTGCGAGACTTGGCAGCATATCGAGTGCTACTATCATGGTCGCCACGTGCCGGAAGTCCACAATTGTGTGGACTGCGAGCCTCGATATCTCGATGCTAAGCGTGCCACCGAGCGGCAGAGACGTCTCAGGGAGGTCGGCGACAGCGGTGACCGGAAAGCGAAACGTGCCGGAGCGAAAGGTCAGAAGAAAAGGGTCAAGGACCATGGTGACAAGGTGAACGGATTCCATCACCGGGCGGACTCGATTGCTCGAGACCAGCCCCCTGCCAAAAAGGTCAAAGCCACTCATCGCGCCTCCGGATCCGTCAGTTCTGTTCCAGGTGCTGCGCCCTTCCCGCCGGATGCCCGCAGACGTGTCACAACTTCCATGAGTCCTACTAAATCCCTGGCGCCGTCCATCCCCCTTTACTCGAATGAATTTCTACATCTCTATGACCATGATCCGGACTATGCCCCCATGAATAGCAACCTCTTTGTCAACCTCCCTCTTGCGGCAGACTTGGCGTCCTGGGTGACAGATCCAACTGCGCTCGCTCGAGTTTCCAATGGGCGATCGTCTCGTGACATTTTCACCTGGTCGGATACTGCGCTGGAGCGGTCGCTCTGGCCTTCATTATCTACAGAAACAATCACTGACCCCAGCATCGATATCGAAGGGCAACATCCAACGTGGAAGGTTCTCAGGACTCGCGAGAGTGTCTCCAAAGACCACATTGTTGGTGAGATTACTGGCAAGATTGGTCTTTTGCGAGACTATTGCCTGGATCCCAGCAATCGCTGGCAGGAGCTTCGTCATCCGGAACCTTTCGTATTCTTCCACCCCCAGCTCCCCATCTACATTGACAGTCGACATGAGGGTAGCATTCTCCGTTATGTGCGACGCTCATGTCGACCCAATGTCACGATCAAGACTTACATCACCAATGAGGTCGAGTATCATTTCTGCTTCGTTGCTAAAGAAGACATTTCGGCCAACTCGGAGATTACGGCCATGTGGTATCTGGATCCCCAACTCTTCGAGTCGACACACGGTCTGGTCAAGCAGGAGCCTAGTGACAGCGCTCAGGAAGTAGCTGCAATTTGCATCAGCAATGTGCTTGCAAATTTCGGTGGCTGCGCGTGCGAGCCTCCAGCTAATTGCTTACTTGCTAGCGTTGATCGCCGGCGGCACCCAAAGACGCTCGAGTCGAAGCAGGTCAACGGTAAACGGAAGAAAGCCAAGACGAAATCCGCCGCCTCGCCGCCGGCGACAACCAGTCGCGCAGGCAGTGAAACGACCAAGAACATGGAGGATGACGATCCGCCCGACTGTCGTTCTACATCGGGCTCTTCGCGGGGCCAGCCGCGCAGTCGGGATCTTACTCCTACGCTGCAGCACGATGGCGAGTCTGAGTTGTCCGCTCGAGAAAAGCGCAAGATTGCGGCAGCGGAAAAGAAATTCCAGCAACTAGAACATGATCAGCAGGCGCACAAGAAGAAGAAGCGAAACAGTGGCCAAGCATCCTTGGTATCTCAGACCCAGGCAGGCCAGTCAGCTCATCAGACTGTATCAGCCCCAGGTCATTCTCGCTCGTCCTATACGGCCCAGCCCTCAGGGTCCATGTCTAGGAAGCCCTCCGGTATCGGCGTTCTTCACGGGCGGTCTCCGCTGCGACGTCCGCACTATGTGGACTCGGCCATTCAGACGGAGCCCGAGGCTGATACGTTAGTGCTATCTGCTGCGCCATCCCTACGGCGGCCTAGCTATGTACCCCTCACGCAACGGCTCCTCAAGCGCTGTCATGCAGATCGTGTTCGCTTGGTGGAAGACAGTCGAAGACCACCATCGCCGTCTCCAGCTGCGCTCTCACCTCTGTCTTCGAGTCCTCACGGCGGCTTGTACCGAAATGTTACACCTCTCAAAACTTCTTCGACCGAGAAGGAAGACGTGGAAATGGAGGATTCCAACTCGCCTACGGTCGTGTCCTCCGGTCAATCACAGACTCATGAAGCAGAACCGAAAGCATCGACTTCGCCGTCGGCTCCTAGGGGGTTGACCAAGCCTCCACTACCCCATCCGTGGCCGTCCACTGCTGCCCACAATGCTCCGTTACCAGGAAGTATTGTGAACGGTCACCGTACAAATCTCTGGGTTCCTCTTCCCCCCGCCACTCACCCCATGGGGCCGATTGCCGTCAGTCCGGGATCGGCGACCGGGTCAACGGTGTCCTCGCCATCTACCCTGGATGCACCAGCGCAACCTGCTGCTGCAACTCCAGGGTCTGGAGTGACTGCGCCGAGCCCTGTCAAGAAGAAGCTCAGTCTTGGTGATTATCTCAGCCGAAGGGGAGCACTGACCACCCCGACGTCGGAGAAGAGCCAAGCGCAAGCGACTGCCATGCTTCCTCCACAGAAGCCTGTCTCGGATCAATCGGCCACAACCCGCGATTCATCCGCGCCGATAGACACAATGAACCCCGATGTCAAAGCGACAGGAGAAGCTGAAACGACTAAGCGAGGAAGTCCCACGTCACCGGACGTGACAGTGAAGGACGCTCCCGGTTCAGCACCGACCTCACATGTTCCCTCATTCTTTTTCTAGGCGCATTTGTCTGCTGGTAACGCTTGCGTGGTAATTGGCGGGATCTTTCTTTTCGTTCTTCCACTTTGTCTCCTAAGGGAGCACATTTGTGACCGTCTCCTTTCTAATCTGCTTGTCTTTCTACACACTACCATTTCTGTTCGTGTACACGGTGGGAATTAAGGCGTTCTAGCCATGGAGTCAGGTTTGTTTTGATACACAAAAGGCGCGTCTGGCGTTGGAAGCGGAAATATTATGGGCTCGGGATGGTCAAATGGGATTTGGTCTAATTGCTGGTGCAGCGTCTGCTTCACGATTTGTCTTTCTACTATTTTGCCATTTCTACTGTGGCTTCTTTCTTCTCTTTTATTATTCTTAGGGTTTTTTTTTTTTCCCGAGCAGTATCTGCGACGACTCTGTGTCTCACGGAGACTAACGGCATTATGATCTGATTCATCAGTTGAGATGACCAATGCAGATATCTACAAGAGATCCCTTTCCAGAGATTGTATACTTTTCCAGCCCTTCTAGGTCCGCCGTATTGAGGGTTTACACGTTCTCGGAATCGGAGGATATTTTCATAACCCGACCTCCAGCAGCAGGCTCCGGCATTCTACATTCGAGCTCAGAGTCGTCCGTTGAATTTTCATTTCTGGCGAACCTGGGGTTCCGCCAGGTTTGTTGTGTTGCCCGAAGATAATTGATGACAGATTCTATATCCGCCCTGTGCGTCCCTCAATATCTTGATCCACTAGCCGAATCATTACTCCATGTTTTAATCGATATCATACAAATCAACTCATTCTATATAAGGCTTTCTGGGCTCTCTATCCAAATGTCAGCCTTCAAACATCTATTGAATATACACGGAAGGTCATCAAAGTCCCATTTAGAGCTCTTGGATGGCACATGAAATCTCAAGCTTGGCTTCCGCTACTTCGAGCAACGGTCTTCGTGCCCCGACTCTTGCTTCGCTTTGCGAGGTTCGTTGCTTCGGCCGCGATATCCGACATCGTAGCTAGATATACTCTTCGCTCATGCTCGAGAATGGCACCACGACTGGGAAGGTATAACGCGACCATCCGGCTAATTGAGTCCACCCAGCTCACAGCAACCGAGCACTCCATCTGGAGAGCCTTTCTGGACGAGGCCGTCGATCCAGAATATGCTGCTCAATATATCTGGGAAAGGATCCACGACCGTCCTAGTCATCCCCCGGAGCAAGTCTTGCATGAATTGAAACTCGACTGGAAGCGGGTTGTCACTAAGTGTCAGTCCAAACCGAACGTGCTCCTATTTCTCCACCAGCAGTCGAGTCAGTGGCCAGGCGAGACCAAGTCTCATCAGATGCACGAACTGGGGTCGAAGCTCGGGACGATTCGCACTGCTTTATGCTGCGTCAGAAGCCATCGGACCCCAGCGTATGCGTTTGTTTCGATCATGCCTGGGTGATCCCACCGAGCCTTTTCGATGACAGTGACATGGATCCCCTGCATATGGGACTTTAAGGCTGATCTAGTCGCTTTGGATATTCCAGTTGAATGCAACGACACAGAAGACATTACGCTCTCTCTGGCATCTCGTGCCCAAATGGATACGTGCTAAGTGCTATCGCGTGCTCCTGAAACTAGACATCTACCTGCTTCTATTCTGAGTACTGGGAGTTTACAAAGCTCATGTATGGTGTAGAACGATTCCCGGAAATTCAACAGATCATTCGCGATGCATTCACAGAGGATGACTATCAGGAGCAGCTCGATGCTGAGACGCTACTATGGAACGTCACGCCGTTTGGTGTATAAGGCTAAGTATCGAAATACCGATCGCGCTAGAAGAATAAGTCCACCCAACAAACGATCCTTTCTGCTGACGAGCGGTTGCTGGTTCACGTTTGAGCAACGAGCTGACCGAGCAGTAAGGGCTATATGCGGAGGTTACTCACCTGCTTGAGAGCCTCTACTGATGTCGTGGTCGAGGCTGCCGAGAGATACCCAAAGGCATCCGAGTTCATGGGCCATTCCATATCATCAACCGCGACCACTCCATCGTCTTTCTCATACTTTGCATAACCTCCGTCATTGTGGCTACTTAGATTTGTCGTCTATAAAACATTCTCGAGGGGATGAAGTATTTGAATGGCTCATATGACGATATCGAGCCCCCATTCTGTCCATATCCTTTCCACCACAATGAGGCGACATTGGTGGAACAGGGTATACTACAGATTAGGGCGCTCTAATTTTGTTTACTGCTGTGACAGCTTCCCGGGGGCATGGAGCATGGGTTGGATGCGACACTATATTAGTCTATTCTGCACTCGATGGAAGTGGAAGGGTCTGTTTGCGATCATTTCTTCTGTTGTTGAGCTGTATCTAGTCGACCTGTCGACACCCAGTATCAAATCACGTGATTTCTCGGGTCTCTTGCTCTCTTCCAACTTGCAACAACTCTTCCGAAGCCCAGCAGCTCTCTTCAACACAACCACCTTCTATATCCGCCTGGACTGCAAGAGGCTGTTCAAAACATTTCCGTAATCGTTTTTGATCAGTGTCTCTGCCGTCTAACATGGCTTCCGTCGACCCTTCCCTCCACGATCCGCTCCTTGCGCTTCGCCGTGCGATCGCAGCCGGTAGTCTTCCCACCCCAACCACCACCTCCGATCTCTCAGATGAGAATGCGACCGAGGATCTGGCCAAGGCTACCCATCTGTACTTCCGCCAGCCAATTCCACAGACCATTCCGCTGACGGCGCCGACGCGCTTCGTCTCCGCCTCGTCAGACTCCGCCGTCGATCTCCGCAGCATCTTCTTCGCTTGGCAGAAGAAAGACGTCGCAATCCCCGAGTACATCACGTCGGCGCAGGAATTGAACGAGTCGCTGAAGCAAAAAGAGCGCAAGGAAGGCGAGCCGGAGGAGAAGGTGCAGAATTTGGTCTTCGTTGAGCGGCTGGATCTCATCACTTGGCTGGAGGGTGCCTCGGATGAGAGCGAGTACATCAAGCCCCTTGAGGGTGCGGCGGCGGCCGCACCCTCTGCGGCTCCGGCGGACGCGTCTGCTGCGATCGCTCCCGGGCCCGCAGGTGCTGCCTCTGCGGTTCCTGGTGGTGCTCAGGCGGCTGTAGCTGCTCCAGGTGGACGGGCGCCGAAGGCGATTGATCCCAGATTACAGGAGATCTACAATGGAGAACGGAAGATGGGCGATCGGAATAGTGTCTTACGGGGGATAAAGCCTACCGTGAGTTCTGCCACTCCCGGCGGCTGGAAAAGCAGATCAATGAAGGGCAATGCTGACGGGAAATTTAGGACTTCTCACACGTTCGCAAAGTAGCAGAGACCTTCCTTGGACGCAACCGCTCACGAACAGGACAATACCCCCCCGGCGCGAAGCCTGGAAGTAAGCCGCAGCCCGTCGTGCCCGCCCCGTCGGCGGGACTCACCCAGCCCCGAAAGAGCGGCAGCTCCAAGAACCAAGACCCGATCATTCTCCTCTCCCCCTCCGCCTCGTCTCTCATCCGCATGTCCAACGTCCGCTCCTTCCTGCAGGACGGCGTCTTCGTCCCCCCGGACCATCCCACCCTCGCCATGCCCAGCTCCTCCAACAATCTTCTCTACATCTACCGCCCCCTCCGCTCAGAAGCCGGATCTACCTCCACCTCTCGTCCGGTCGGGGCTTCCCAGCCCGGAGCAACTTCCAAGAAACCCACCCGCTTCATCCTCGTTGACAGCACCGCCAACTTCCGCCCGGACTACTGGAACCGCCTCGTTGCTGTATTCACGACGGGCCAAACCTGGCAGTTCAAGTCGTACAAGTGGACCTCCCCGCCGGAACTCTTCAAGCACGCCGCAGGCATCTACGTCGGCTGGCGCGGTGAAGACGTCCCCCGCGAAGTCCGCGGCTGGGGCCGCGGCGTGCAGAGCTTTGCCGTCGAGCGATGGGACGAGAAAGGCGGCGTCCATGGTGCCGGCCGCTGGCGCGATCGCGAAGTCGTCGAGAATATCTGGACGGCCATCGAAGAGGGCATGAAAGCGAGAGGGTGGGGAGCCGGGTCGACGAAATGATGGGGCCCCTCAGTTTCTGGTCCTTCCAACCCTAACCCCTAACCCTCTTGTCTAAATCAGCATTATAGTATCCCATCTTCGCAGCGTCTGCAAATCTAGCAAGATCTGGTCTAGTCTCTTCTGACCGCATTCGCAATGCTCGGTTCGCGAATCAGAAGCGTACCAAATGCTTCTTTGTGCACGGCAGGTGCTGAAAGCACACGACAAGTTTTGCCCCCGCCCGATGTATCCTCTATTCGCTTTTGACTTTGATCCTTTCTCATATAGCAGGAAAAGGCGTGTTGCTGGTGTTCACTCGATTTGTCTCTTTGATATCATCCCATTTCTACTGTTGTTCATATTCTCTTTACATCGAATCTCTTTGGCGTTGAGTGAGTGGTCTTTTGTTAGACATGATACAGTCTGACTCGACTGGGCGCAGCTCCGGGCACAGATGATTCAGTGGTATTCCGAACTACCTTAAAAGCATGGAGAAATCTCTCCGGAATGGCTACCGGCGATGAGAAAGAAATATTCATGTTCTCAATATTGAATGTATTGTCAGTGACTAGATGGAATACACTCGCTGATAGGTTGAAAATGTATCACAGAAGCGTCGAAGGAAACTGGATGCAGGAAAGAGAATACTTAGACATGTACATGTGTTCTCTTCGCGTGGAATATGCTGAAACAATGGAAACTGAAAGAAAATGATAACAGGCTGTGCGGCCATGCATGCAGGCAGATGTAAATGGACAAAACGCCTTTCTAATGCTGGAAAACTGTCGGGGTTCAGTCTCCTCTTCAATATGCGAGGGTCGAACAAAGGAAAACATATTATAAACACCCCAGTTCCGGCCATTCTCTATCACATGATCCATAGATCGTAACATCTTTCATCCGTCGTGATGACTTGATTACAAAATGAAGATTATCATGAAACGTGAGCTGTTGTTGAGCTCAACCGTGTATCAAGCGTCTGTAAAATGAGAAAGAAAAAATTAATATGGAGTAGGGCGGAGTTACTCCGAGTCGGAGGCGCGTAACGGACAATGAGGTGAGAAAATTCGAGACGTATCAACGGGCCTTCGCCCTCGATGCTCCCATATTGTGGGAGCGGCGGGATTCAATCGTGCCAAAATCATCTGGAGACTTCAAAAACCGTAGTAGTCTCCTTGACTGGTCCAATAAAAGTTTGCGTGCTGGACCGTGGACGATATCACACCCCGTGTGTCTCAAAAACGTTAAGAGAACGTTGGCAGAGCTGCAATTATCCCCTACAAGGACTTTGCGCTCATGAAGATCGCAGAACGTATTCCCTCCTCACAGTTCAAGGGCGTGCCGAACGACTCATCGAGCGCTCCGGAACAGGCGCCGGAGTGGGTGAGTAAGCCCTTGGAGCACCGATCAAGTCGACATCGTGCTCCTGCAGGACAACCGCATACTTCGGATCACGTAGGAACTTGGGAACAGAGTCCTGATCCTCATCAGCGAACTGTGATTGACCAAACTGTTATCGGAAGAAAAAGAACTTACACTAGACATTAACTTGAAAACGGATGTCTGAGCCATCTCAAACAACTGCACAACCTCCTGGAGGCTTTTGAACATAGACTCATCGTCACCTACAGCCTTTGTCATACGGCTTGCTAAGCTGTTGCGCAGTGCGTGATCGATATTGAGCTCGCAAGGAGAACCAGGGGCAAGGAAAGCATTGTAAAGACCTGGAAGAACGTGAGCAAAGATGAAATAACCAATCAGAATCCCTATAAAGAGTGGCTTACCATATGCCGCAGCCAGCGTCTCACGGACAGCGTCGGCTTTCTTGAATGCACCCATTTTCTCCGCCTTGTGGTAAGCAGCCGTGAATTCCGAGACATCGAGGTAAAATGAAAGGTTTTCTTCGCATAGAGAGAAACGCAGGAATTCACGGAACAGCAGTCGCAGAGCAGGATCATGAAGAATGTGGTTCAAACGAGCGTTGTTCGAGTCTTTTGGCATACCACGGTTGTCATAGAACGTTTCGCGGGACTTGTCGCGCGCGATCCAACCGCAAACCCGCTGACCCCGCTCCGTGATACCGTAAATAGCGTACTTGGATGGCTGGAAGACGACAATGGACGCATCTGGCTGAGGATATCCCTTGTCTTCTTGAAGCATTGTAATCAGACCGTATTTGACGAAAAGCTCCGCAATGAGGACGGTTTCCCGGCGTTCAATGGTTGTCGAACAATCCATCAGCCAGTCCACGGCAGCCTTTCCGGTGAAGGTGTTCATGTAGATTTTGTCGTTGATTTTCCGTTCTTTGGCCATCTTAACCCCAACCAGACCGTTTGAATAGTCGCTCAACGAATCCGAATCCGAGGTAGAAATACTGCTCTTCACGTTGGGTCCGTCCTGACCGGCAAAGCGGCG